TATACAGGTATACTATTTATTCGCTATCTGACACTCTGTCCTTATGTAATAAAACTAAGTGAAACTCAGCCGCTGCCTGAGAGGCTATAGAAACGACTGAGGTATTCCTATACTAAACCCCCTACTACTTATAGTCGGAGGTGCTACTCGCTACAGTACAATGACTCCTAGGAGTACAATTGTGCTCCTAGGAGAACAATGGTGACTCCATGGAGAACAATGGCTGCTTTGGCAGAGACTGGGTTTATCCGGTTTTGTCACTCCTACTCGAGTGCAACCGTAGTCCCATAGCTTTAGAGAATTTCCAGTGTTTTTCATGAGTGAGAGGTTTAGTGAGAATGTCTGCAACCATATCTCCTGTAGGAACATATCTGATTACTGCCTCTCCCTTTGATACTAAGTCATCTCGGATAAAATGATATTTCTGAATGTGTTTTGTGCGAGCACAGAATTGTGGATCTCGTGTAAAAATGATAGCTGCTTGATTGTCACAGTGCAATGTTGTAGGTCCATTTTGAGCATGTCCAATTTCTTCAAAAAATATCCAAAGCCATGCAAGGTGTTGTCCAGCATTGCTCAATCTAATGTACTCTGACTCCATGGAGGATAAAGCTACCATGCTTTGTCTTTTGCTTGTCTAGGAGATTGCTCCTCGGATGGTGATGAAAACAAACCCTGATGTTGATCAAGATGTGTCTGGGTCTCCAGACCAATCTGCATCTGAATATCCATAGAAATCCATGTCCATAGAGACATCTGTGCCATCATATTGTAGTTCTATGTCCCTGGTTGCTTTCAGATATTGGAGGACACATTTTGCAGCTTCCCAGTGATGGCTCCTTGGAGCTGAGCTATGTCTGCTTAGTATTCCAACAACATAGGCAATGTCTGGGCGGGTTCCGAGCATGGCATACATGAGGGAGCCTACAATTGAGAGTTATGACACTTGGCACCCTTCAATATGCATCTTGTGTTGCACAATATCTTCCCCTGGAGCATTTGCAAGGAGTTTTGATCCATGGGCCATTGGTGTCCATACTGGTTTGCAGTTCTTTATTCCAGTACAGGATTGTGTCAATGCATTGGTGTTGCAATAGGGATATTGTTTTGTGTGAACAATTACGTTGGATTTCTATTCTGAGGATGTATTTCTCCAAGGTCCCACATTTTTAATACGGATTCGAGTTTGGCTTTTGTGATATCTATGAATTTTTGGGATGAAGCTCCTATGAGGAGGTCATCTACATAGACAACAACAAAGCATATTTGTTTGTTGTCCCAGAATACATAGAGACATGTTTCTGCATTTAGTCTTGTAAAACCGAGCTCCTGGAGCTTGTGATCAAAAGTTTTGTTCCATGTACGACCAGCTTGTTTTAACCCGTAGATGGATTTCTTCAATCTCCAGCAGTATCCAGGTTGGATAGAAACACCCCCTGGAGGAAGCATGTACAGTTCTTCTTCAAGTTCTCCATTGAGATAAGCTGTGGATACGTCCA